GAGTGAAACCTAATGTTGAGAGCTCAGCAGACAGTTAAGTTTCACTTTCACTTTCACCCCAGAGCCTGCAGGAGTTATGGGCGGGGTGCTCTGCCATGAGGAAGTTCGGCTTAAAGACACGTCCCAGAGGTGTTTCTGGTCCCCACCTGTCGTTTTGCTCCTCAGCATGGCTTCCTAAAAACACTGCAGGATTTCTCAAACATGCATGAATGAGTCAAAACAAGGCTTTGGACATGTTTTTTATGAGAGTGTAACATTACAACATGATGTAAAACTCAAAAAAGGTGATTTTACTTGATATTGCCCCTTTAATAAATGTTCCTGGTCATTCGAGAGAAAACCTGAAAACCAAACAGTTAAATGCAAACTGCAGCTAAAAGTGTTTGGAAAACAAGGATTTTAAGGCTGCAGATGGTTGACAGTCAGGATGGTGAAGGATTACTGCTACAGATCAAAACACTGGTTTATTAGATGTAAATAAAAGTGTGGACAGTTTGCACCAAACGCTCCTAACCAGCGTTTCACACACAGATCAGTCCGTTTTTATTTACTAATTTCCATTTAATGGAAATCATCTGAGGTAAAGTTCGTATTTATGGTTTAAATAAGTTTCAAATAGGAAAAAAACTTGCAAACTTCATCTTCTGTAAAAGAAAACAACAAAATGCGTAATACAGTAGTTAATGTATTCACTGTCATTAAAGATGTTTTTAAAAATTACATTAAATATGGCAATAAAAACATGCAGAAACCCTGATTTTTAACAGTTAAACATTTTGGAACACCTGCGCTCAACAACTCCTAATAAATGAGAGTTAGGATTTGATCAAATGGACTGAGGCAGCTGTTTACAAAAATATAGTAGCAATAAAGTCATATAAAACAATGTTCAGACCTTAATGAGTTAGTGATTCTGATTGTTTAGGATAACTGGAGAGATTTCATTTTTAAAAGAAATTAAAATGATGTGTTTTTTGATAGTTATGTTTGAGATAAGTAAAATAAAACAAAATTGAAAGAGGATAAAATTAAATGTCTTTAAAAATGTGTCATGTAATGTTTGACCTGTAGCATGTTGTGATTGAACGTCTCCTCTCTAACAGAGCTGGATTATAAAGTGTGTGCAGCTGAGTGAAAAGGACAGGTTGAAACACTTTGTTCTTCAGGGACAAACAGTTTCAACTCTGCAGTTTTATTCTTGTCTCTAATTTAAACGCGTTCATTTCGATAAACCTGCAGCAGGTTGAGTTTTCTTGTCGCTCCAAACAGGAAGAGTCGGGTGTGAACTCAGCACGTTGTCTCTGTCCTTCCTGCAGTTTCTACATCTGGCGTTTAAAGTGAGGTCACTTCCTGTGTGTTTGCAGGTCAGCACTCACGGCTACTCTCAGAACCAGATCCTGGTGTGGAAGTATCCATCGTTAACACAAGTGGCCAAGCTGACGGGACATTCCTACAGAGTCTTGTACCTGGTACGTTCTCTGTCACTGTGCAGGCGACGGTCCTGCCATCACAGCCGGGCCAGAACAAGTGGCGTCTTTGTACAAGTGTTTGTTTTATTTGACTCGTAAATCCTGTTTGGGTTTGTGTTTTCTCCCCTCAGGCTGTGTCTCCAGACGGAGAGGCCATTGTTACCGGAGCTGGAGATGAGACGCTCCGTTTCTGGAGCATCTTCAGTAAGACGCGCTGCACAAAGGTACGAGGGTTTCGTGGATACGTGCAAGCTCACGTGTTTGTGTTGAAGGGAATGTTCGGACATTGTGAAGAGGGTTTCTGTGGAAAAGTTGTTTTTATTTTTTGTCGTAGCTTTGTGACATCTTCAGTTTGGAAAAATCAAACTTTTTGTCTGACGAGACTGATGAGCAGCAGCTCCAGTCTTTCCATATATATGAACCTTAACTGTGCTCTTGGTTTTTAATGACATGATTTTAACCGAAATATTATAATGTTCCTGCTAGGGATGCTAACAATTAATCAACTTACGATTAATTGTCGAATAATGGTTTATTAGATTAAAATTTCTTCCATTCGATAAATTGAAAACATTCATTTAAACCTTATTTCAGTGTAGTTTTGACTTCATCCAGCAGAGGGTGCTGCTACTCTACCCCTGCCCTGTTAAACTGAGCAGGAAGCCGTCTAGATGTGGGCGGGACCGCAAATGCGCGAGTCTTATTTAGTTGTATTTGTGACACAACAATAATAATGGACTACACCAAACTGGAAGGAAAAGTACCGAAGGCTGTACCAGACCATCCAGCAGTATGACGCTAAAGGCAAGAGAGCAGGATGACAGAGAACGATAAGCTAACTGTGGCAAACATTAGCTTCCACTTGTTGAAAGAACAACAACAAAATTTACAATCGCTACAAATACTTAAAGTGTATTTTACCCCCCTGTGAAAAGATAACTCCGCCCCAAGGCAAAATTTGAAAAATGCATCAAAGTGGGTAGGGGAGGGGGTGAGGGTGGGGAAGGGGGGTTAGAGAGCGGAGGTGTGGCCAGGACGAGAGAACGCGACAGGCAGCTAGCATTAGCATAATTGATGCTACATGGAGAGTGACCACAGTATCACAGACAGTTACATCTCTGAACGTCTGAGGTGGAGGA